TAGAGGCTAGAAATCAGATCTCGCACTGCCTGGAAGGGTATTCTATTTCTCAAGTTAGAGAGTGTTATTTTCCCACTTACTTTGATTTGTTTTTAAGAACTGGATACAAAGTGAAGGAAAGGCGATTCTAAACATCCCACAGGTCGTGATCAGGGAACTCACTCAAGCAGGAGAGTTTGATTTAAATCCTGCCTTGAACTGAGCAGACAGTGGTTTTTCTCTCTTGGCTTAGATTTTGTAGAGAAATGCTAATACTTCTGGTTGCAGTAAGGAAGTAGTTATTAGTAGACAGAAATGAGAGAAAAATACAGAAAACCATTTCTACTGAGAGAAAAGACATTAGTAGCATTAGGAATGTTGTCAAGAGATGGAGAGGTTGTGGTAAATTACCACCCTTTTTCTTGGTGGTGTTGTTGTTGATATTGATTTTTACTTCCCATCCAAAATTTTATACAATTGGTATACTTATTCAGAGCACAGAATTGCGATTACTGAAGGTGGTATACACACTCTTAGCCTTGGACAACGCAGCTCATGCGTGATGGTTCTTGACATCATAAATTGATGACTGAAGAACTGGATCTTAACCCCCCCCTTCAGATTCATTGTTCATTGTAGAAAGTGGCAAATCTAAAACAGATGACCACATTGCACCATGCTAAAATTCTCAACACGTGTAGGAAAACCATACTACTTATCCATAATACCAGCCTTATCCACGATCTCTTTTATTTCTCCAGTTTCTTCACAGAGGATTTATATCAAACTCAAAATGTTTAAAAGAAGGTAACAAAAATATTTTATATGACACAGATGAAGAGAACCTAAAAGAACATCCCAGGCATGTATTTGTCCTGTGCCAGTCACGGATTTGTCCAGACAGAAGTTCTTTATGCAGAACGATGCATATGGCTTTGGATGTTTACAGAGTTTCACAGAATCATAGAATCGTTAGGTTGGGAAAGACCTTTAAGATCTTTAAGATCATCAAGTCCAACCATTAACCTAACACTGCCATCCCACCACTAAACCATACCCCTAAGCACCTCATTTACCCGTCTTTTAAATACCTCCAAGGATGGGGATTCAACCCTTTCAATTAAAAATTTTTTCCTAATGTCTAATCTAAACCTCCCCTGGCGCAACTTGAGATTTGATCATTAGGCAGCAACCCCATTCAGCCCTTTTTGCTCTTTTGTAAACCTTCTCAACTTTCCAGATAGGCACCTCTTCCAAATACAGGTATAGGTATATAAGTGTAAAAAAAAAACAAACAATTTTTTTTTTGTACTATCTGTAGGGATGCATTTATGGTTTAGCTGTTATTTTAAAATATGTTTTAGAATTTTTGGAACAGTTGCCCTTCCTAAAAGTGCTTATGTTTACAACCAAGTGGTTGCTCTATACTAAAGAATCCATTATAGATATTTGTATTTACTTTGGATTCTTTTTTTTTAATATCTGAAAACTGTAAAAGACCAAAGAGACTAATGCAGCATTGTGGTAAAGGTTACTTGCTGTCTTCAGACGCTGTTAATTGCTAAGCTGAGGTTCACAGTATCTGATGTTAAGTTTTACTCCTGGAAGGCTTAGAAAATAGCTGTTTTCCAGTGCAAAGCATTGGCATGTTTTTACCTATTTTTAGTTGTATAAATACACACAACTTTTCTTTAGTATTTCAGAGCACAGTAGTTAATAGATAGCCCTGAAAACTTTTTTCACAGAATTATGTTCAGTGCAGGCCTATGGTACCATGCTTTCCCACGGTTTATCAGCTAGGCTGTTTACCAAATGTGACATTGGAGATCCATTTGAAAAATGAGAGCATAATTTAGATACAAAAAGCATTTAATGCTTGCTACTTGACCCTTCTTCTTGTGAATCTTCTTCCACATTGTTTGGTGTTTGCTTGGTTCCACAGAAATTCAGTTAATGGAGGTGCACTGTTTTATATATAAGCTAAAGAGCTATTACTTCAAGAAAGTGTCCTTTTAAGAACAGATGTTGACTGTGGTTTTGTATGTTTAGAAATGAGGGGCTTTAAATCGTCGTCTTTAATTTTCTTTATTACTTGTGTGCCTCTCCTCAGTTAAATTCCATACAAGACTTACTATACAGAATTGCAATTTGAGGGAAGTTATGACAAAATTACTTCGTCTAACCTGAGGTGGGAACTGTGCCAGCGTGTAGGCTTAGGATGCCTAACATAAGGTTTTTTACGCTGAAGGATTGGGGAGTGTTTTTGCTGGAGAAATCAACAACCTAAATGCAGTCATAACTGATCGATTTGCACTTCCCATGTAGAAGAGTGCTTTATTTCGTCAGAAGTGGTGCCGTGGAGACTAATATACGCTCTTATACTATAGAATTTGATGCATTCAAACCCAGACATACAGTTAGCATATATCTTAACAATGGAAGTTACAATAAATCTGTTCCACTGTCAAATCCCATTTAAGATGAAGCCAGGTAAAGGCCATTAAATAGCTTAAGCACATTCTAATTAGCAATTTTTAAGTTGTTACAAGGATACTGATCTTTAAATTAAGTGTTTTAAATTAACTCAAATCCTTTCATTGTTCTTTTCTTCCCCCCTAATGTATAGCTTAAATATAGCTCAATCACTGTGTAACTGTTCCAGGCAGAGGCCTTTAAAGTGATATTTCCTGTACCCGTTTGAACTCTGATTTCTGAATATGCAAAGGTTTTTGTGAAAAGCAAAACTAAAAATACTTTGGAAATTAGGATTCATGATATAGCTGGTCAAAGGTATGTTCATGTGTGAAAGGATTTCTGACAGCAATCATGGTGCCAGGGTGTTGCATATAACTGGCGTAGAATGCAATTTTATGTATAGAACTAACAACATTTTCAGAGCTTTTTTTAGTTTTAAGAAAAGATGAAAAAGCAGAAATGGAGATGCAGAGAATTATTTAAGATTGACAAATAACCAGTTAACTTGGATTTTCAATTTTTGTGCCTCAGTGGCACAGTATAAATAAATCTGAAGAGTCAGAAGAGTTGCTTGCCCAGTTCAGCTATGTTTTCTTCCAGCTTATGTGGAAATACAGAAAGAATGAGCATCTAGGAAAAGCATGTAAATGTTCTGGCTTTCAAGTCTGTAATTTTTTGCACAACAATTAAGTGAAAACATAAGTAAGTATACCTGGCTGGAAGTCTTCACTGATAAGTTTAGAGTTTGAACCAGGAAAAAACCAAGAAATGTTCCCAACATCGACCACAGAGAACAGCATGCAGATGTGGAGAAGATAAGGAGTAAATTTCTAGAACTTTTTTTCCTGATGCTTTGACAGGTATTTGGTACCACACTTACAGCTTTCTGTCTTAACATTGTTCACAGACATTTTCTGTCAATGCCTGTCTATTAACCAAGAAACAAAACTGTGCAAACAAAATTATCTAGTCCAATAAAAACCCTGGTTCAAAAAAAAAAAAGTCAAATCCTGCTGCTCAATGCTGAATGCATTCATGTATTTAATTTAAAATCTGTGAGATAAAGATTTCATTTTAAAAAAGGAAAAATGAATGTATAACTTCACTCAGCAGAAGATGGGATTGAAGCTGAGAGAAGGTGAACACTTAAAACTGTTGGAAATTCAGCTAATCAAAAAGCCTGCAGAGGCTTTCCTTACATGCAGGCATGAATGTGCCAAGTTCATCTGAGTTCTTCCAATGATGTTAGAGATACTGAAATAAAAATTAAAGGTCATTTTTCTCACTTTTACATGTTGTGTTTACCATAGCTGCAGTGCCTTAGGCTGATGGTCATAATTTCTCCGTGGTTCATTCATGCATTTTGAATACAAATAAATGCTCCTATAGCAGAATCAGGATTTTTTAAAAATCTTGCTCTTACAGTATTTTTTCTCATCTGTTTGTTCACACTACTGCTTACGCAAATTAAGATGAAATCATATTTATAGAGTCATAGAATAGTTGAAACGAGAAGGTGCACGCCTTCAGGAGCACAACACAATTTCCACTGATTGCAGTAGGACACTCTCTCATCTCAACAATTTAAAATTCATTTCTGTAATAAAAAAGATACTGCAAAGAAAGTGAAAGAAGAGAACAACCATGAAGTCAACTTATAATTTTTTTTCACTATGTATTCCTTCACATTTCCTTTTCTATAGAACTGTGGCCTGAAAGTACTGTCAATACTGCAAAACTAAAGTCTTTGATACACAATATATGCTTGATTTAAGAGAAATATTTTTTCTACACTACCTCCACCTCCATTATGAATTTTCTTAGTACAAATTTACTACTTCGCTAAGTTCAGTGTAATCATTGTATACCAGCAGGTAGTTCCTGGAAAATAATTTGGATAGTGGCATCATTTTACTTCTATTTTATGTTAAACACTGGTTTTTGTAATGCTATTAAGTATGTTAATTTGAACTGTAGTCATGAAAGTAAATTTCATTATCTCTACTTCTATCCTTGAATGCATTTGGGAAATAAAGAAACAGCATAGTGAGTTATTTTATTATACTGACTTTAAAGACAACTTCAGTCCCATAGCTACCATTCAGGAATTTATCAACATTTGACTCCTTTGGGGAAAAAAAAAAAAAAGGTTGTTACAGATTTTTGGAGGAGTACAAACTAGGGGTTATTACTTTCTCACAAAAATGATGTGAATCTTGCTTCAGATAAATAGATTCCGTTTCTGTACAATCAATATTCTGCATATTTGTTTCTCCTAGCAAAACCCAGAATATTGTAAGCACTGTTTTAGCATTTAACAACTTAATCTTTCTAATAAAATCAATGAGCTTTGGAGGTTAATGTTGTCCATACCTAGGAAAGAAAAAAATGGTCTCAGAGACGTGCTAAGTAGCTTACTACTGTGTTAAAATTCAACATGAATTGCCCAACTTCAGAGACATTAAGTCATACACACCTCACAGTACGGCAACGGAGAAAAATAAGTAGGTGACACTCAATTAATTGGTATCTTTCTTTATCGACAGGCTAGTGAAGGATGCCCCATGGGATGAGGTCCCTCTCGCTCACTCCTTAGTTGGTTTTGCCACTGCGTATGACTTCTTGTACAGCTATCTTAGCAAGACTCAACAGGAGAGATTTCTTGAGGTAATTGCCAACGCCTCGGGATATATGTACGAAACATCATACAGACGTGGATGGGGATTCCAGTACCTCCACAACCATCAGCCTACCAACTGTGTGGCCCTGCTGGCTGGAAGCCTGGTTCTGATGAATCAAGGTATGTGCTAAACCATAGGAATGCTTTTCTGAAGTGTATCAACTCGATCAGCCATTTATGCAGCAAAGTTCAGGAACTGATGGAAATGCTTCTGAGAGTACAGCAGGGTTTGCTCTTTTGCTGCTTAGAAAAACTTAATTTCCTGAATAGAACAGAGGTCTGTGGGCAGATGTACAAGGTATAATATATATGCGTATATACCTGTGTATATAAATTCAGTAATCTAAGTGATCTTGAGATTCTTACCTCACTGTTTCTAAGAATTATAAATCCCCTTGTGTGTAGTCTGTCCAGACCAGATTTACAGACAGGGTGTTTCAGAGTAGATTATCAGTAAAGGGCGATGCACTTGGTCTGCTTACACAATGCATTGAGAAGGTCAGCAGTCAGAAACACCCTGCACCCTGATCTGGGAGTTAGGCAACAGGGTAACCTGGAATTTCATCCAAGACTTCTGTCCTGTCTTCCTGAGAGAGCTGCAAAGGTGTAACTTCATCCATCCAAAGGCCACAGCTCAGGACCTTTCTTTCCAGCGTTCTTTTCTATGGAGATGAGCAGGGCTTTACCTTCTTCCCTCTGAACTATGCCCTTGCACCCCACCACCTTCATCCAAGAGGTGTCTGTGCCAGATATCATCTCCTTCTTTGCTTCAGTGACTTAAATCCAACCCTCCCAGTTCCCAGGTGAATAACCTCACCAGTTGCTTTTAGCTGCTCTGCCTGGGGGCTATCCCTCTCCTCCTGTCTAAGTGATAGACAGTGTAAATGAGAGTGCAAGTCATGGAGTCAGAGGGAGAGAGCAGATAAGAAATCCCAACTTTAAACCCCAGAGGTATTTCGGCTGGGAGGTGGAAGTCATGGAGCCAGCTCCTGCTTTTGTAAGAACACGTCAGTATTTTATCAAGCAATTGTTTAATATGTGCTGGAAGTATTTTGAGAACATGATGCCCAGTGGAACTACTTGCTGCAAGTCAAGGAAAATCTAGGTTCTGGATGCTGATGGCATTGCCAAGCTGTACAGTCCTGCCAAGCAAAGGCACATCTGCACATGGCTGGAGCTTTTGGATGCCCAAAGAAATGTGACAAAAAACTGTGGCACCTACTGTGTTTGGGGGGATCATCATTTTGTTAAGTGCTTGTCAAAACAAGCGCATTCGCCAACGGTGAAAAGCAGCAAGAGTATGTGTGAAAGTTATTCCCTTTCCTCCCTATCTTGCCTTCCACAAATTGAAGACTCGGATCATGTTTATTCAGTGGGTTTTGCTAAATTCCTCATAATTCCTCATCCTTCCCTGAGCCTCCATCGTTGCAAAAAGCTGACAGCTTGCAAGATGACTCTGCTTTTCATTAGAGTATAGACCATAAGTATGCTTTGTGCCAAACAGTGGTAACATCACAAATAAAGTCGGGCAATATTTCTTTCACCAAAGGTTGGTGGAGGGGTTTTTTTTTTTGGTGGGGGGAGGGAGCAAATTCAGCAACACTTGAGCAATTTGAAAATTTGTGCTGGTATTTCAAATGAAAATAGGTCAAAACATCCAGACTCTATTTCTAAATGAAAATTCTGTCGTTTTCAATATCCAGCAACTTTGTTTTAAAAAAAAATTGAAATGTAAACAAAGTTTTTCTGTTGGTCTAAAATAAAAAAAATGGTTTCTTAAAAATTCTCATTCCAAGATGAAAGGCTTTATCTGAAGGAGAAAAAAAGGGAGGGAGAAAAGGAGTAAACATACTATTCTCCCTGTATCAGATGCATAGCAATTGCAAATAGTGTATTCCAGTGCAGACCTTTCTTCCAAAAGGTTTAAATTTCAACTAAGAATTTTAAACACTATTCAGCTATTGAAGCATGCAGAGACTGAAGAGGCAGCTTAAAAACATGTAAACATTGTCATAGAACTGAAAAATGGAACTAATTGAAGTGAATTCTAGGCACACACATATACTGAAGTCTTTGCAGTTAAAATAAACACTCAGATATTCAAAAAAGAAACTTGAGTAAGGCCTAATTTGATATAGATACTGCTAATTTTAGGTGAGAGGTGTTCTGGTTTGTTGTGCAGAGTGTTGAGTCTCTTATTTTTTTATTCTAATGTATTGTTATTCTATTCATATATTACAAGTATAGGGTTTTAGCATAGATATAAACTAAGTAAACAGAACATATATGCATTAAAATGGTAAATACACTATGCTGAACCATGGCAAATAGCATTCTTGCTAGTGCAGTAGTCAGAACCTAGCTATTGTGGCTGTTAATGTCACAAGGGAAAACAAGGGTGGAAGCATTTGGGATTTTATTCAGACAGACCACTGTGCTGCCAACTCCATCACCGTAATGAAATAGTGTCAAGAGAGCTGTGAATAAAGTAAGTAGAAGTAAGTAGCACCACCTGCCCCTGCTGCTCAGGCCTTCCCCGTCGTATTTATCTCTTCAGCCAGCAGATAAAAATACCATGTTGGATTCAGGCTGTCTGTTTAACTCCGGCATTGCAATTTTTTTTCCTCTCTGTTAACTGAGCAGGATTTGGCAGCCTTGACTAGTAGGAAGTCTGAATTGCTCATCACTCTGCTGAGTATAAATACAGTAATTGCGGCAATGACATGAAACAGCCTTAGTAGCGGGTTCAAATGTAGCTCATACTCGCTTAGCCTGGCACGTGCGCTTCATTCGGCAGGCACCGCTTCACCACGTAATGGGGTGTAATGTATGCCAGCTGAGCCCTGCTACATGGTGGAAATAAGTCTGCTTAAATCTGTGTCCAGACACTGTGAGTTGGATAGGCACTAAGTTGTCGTATAGAAGCACAAGGCAGTTGGTGTCTGTTCAGTCCTACCTCTCTTGCCAGTGAATCCCAAAGGCAGCACGTAGCCTTTCCTCTGCTGGGATCCATGAGCTGCCTTCTGCAATACGTAAGTGCAGTGCTGAGGCTCTCATGCTTGTGCTTGTTCCTTGGTGAAGGCAGACAAGCCCTGAGAAGGTCTTCTCACCACCTCTTCCCAGCTCTTGATTTGTGTAGAGCAGACCAAATTAGTAAGATCTCTGAAAGTCTTCTTTAGAAGAAATATAACTCTTTAGGGATTATACATGTGGAGGCTGAAACTTAACCTAGTTGGAGAATTAATTTTATTCTGGAATTGAGGAATCTGCATTTGGAATTAACCATACAAAACTTTTCCAAAATAACTTCTGTTTGGATAACCCTTAAGGTTGTACAATAAATCAAAATGTAAGTAGAACAGAGCATGTCTTAAAATAGAGCGTGTATTAGTAGAATATCAGTTAACTGCAGCTCAAATGCAAACTTCTTTGTATTTTTAAACTCTGAGGATCTCCTTACCATGCTGGTGATCATGCCAGTGAAAAACGATTAGAAAATTTGCATTATTGGAGCCCTCTAGTGGGAACTGTAAGTCTGTTTTCATACAGCTTTAATTTGAAATACAGCAGTCTTGGCGTGGCTCTTCCCTTTTTGCATGTCCTGAATGCATTAAGAAAATTTTCCCTTTAAAGTGGGAAGCATAATCCCACATTATTAGCAAAAGGTGTCTGACAGATTTTCCCTGCTCGTGTGACCTTGCTTTGCTGTGTTTAAATACAGTGGTTTGTTTTTCACCCTATAACTACAGGGACGCTGCAGTGCTAGGTCATATTTTAGAGCTCTGGATTGCAGATTCCTTCCTGTAAAGGATCCCACTGTGGGAGTACAGATGACATAATCTACGATGTATGGTGCTGTAATTAAATTTTCCAAACATCTTTGTCTTTCAGGCTACCTTCAGGAAGCTTATTTGTGGACCAAGCAAGTGTTGGCAATCATGGAGAAGTCGGTAGTCCTGCTGCAGGAGGTCACTGACGGCTCCCTCTATGAAGGGGTGGCTTACGGCAGCTACACCACCAGATCGCTGTTTCAGTACATGTTTCTTGTCCAAAGGCACTTTGACATCAACCACTTCAGCCACCCCTGGCTCAAGCAGCACTTTGCGTTTATGTACAGGACTGTCCTGCCAGGTAGGTCATTTGGGGGAATGAGGAAGGATCTTCTCATTCTTGAAGCAGCAGTAAATTTCATACTTGAAGTAGGCCATTTTTAAATAACATCGTACTTGGATTTTTTTTAAATAACTTTCTCCTTGGATTTTACCTTCATCATCCATCAAAACAGTGACATCCTTGTTTATCACTGCTTATTAAAGATCATTGTTTATTAAACTCTGGCTTTTAAAACCAGACGAAAGGTAAGATCATAATTTGGGAGAAATAACAATGGTTCAGAATTTGATTTCTGGTTTTCAGAGTTTGAAACAGACCTGTTTCAGGGGCTTTCCATTTGAAAAATAATGTTCTTTGAGGTTCTTACTGATTTTTTCCTTTGCCAGAAATCACTACACTAAAATACTAGGTGAAAGGAATAGAAAATTATGAAGCCAGGGTAAAAGTATCAACAAAGTACAGGAAAGTTTTATATGCTCACCAGTTTTCCACAAAACATTGAAATTGATTGCTATACCATTTTTATTAAAATGTTTTTCATATGGAAAATGTAACTGACTCAAATTATAGGCTTCTCTGTGCAGGGGTACATGAACCATTTTCTTTTTTCAATGTGAGAATTATCAGAAATATCTGATGTCACTAATGGATCATTTTTGTAGACTTTTTAGTATCTCTGTTCTTTTGCTGGATCTCTCCGGTATCTCACAGTGTGCTTTAGCATCTCTGATTTGAAGTCCTAGTTGTGACTGAAAGATGGAGATGTACAAATATGAAACCAGTTATAAGTTAATAAATATTGCTGACCCCTTCTAGCTTTCAGAAGAGATTTAGTTTCAGGCAGCCTTGCAAGTTTTTGATGGTATTCTGTTGTTTATTTGCCGGACAAATCATTAGGAACCGATATTGTTCAAATTACTGGTTGAAAAGACAGTGTTAACTTTATTGGCTATAAGAGCACCAGATCTAGCTGTGTATGTACGGGGGAACTGAGCACAGCTTTGGCATGCCAGCATAGGCATGTAAGGAATTGCACCACCTCCATGTGAGACCTCGGGCATCTACTGGGGAGAGGTTCCCAAGAGCAAAGTGAACTCAGGCTAGCTGTTTCAGGGTGAAGCTGATTTTTTTTTTCCTTGGGGAAACCTCTGTTTTCTTGCTTTAGAGAGTTTGGATTGACATAGGAAAAATGAAAGCTGTAAAGAGAAACTTAGCTTTGCCAGATTTGGTGAGGAGAGGAAGTGGATGGGACATTGCTTCTTACATTTTTTGTAGTACTTTGACTGTAGCCCATAGCCGAAGAAGAAAGGTGAGTATTCAAGTTAGCTGCAGCAGAAGGAAACAGCTCCCATGTAACCTGTTTATGGCTCATTTACAAGTAGGTCACTAAACATCTGAAAAGGCTGTTTCTGTTTGTGTCTGTTTGTACTGCTTGGCTTCACCGTCATGCTCTACAAACGCATCTTTGTACGTTTATTTGTTCTTCCTTACATTCCTTTTCACTTTTTCCCAAGGGTTTCAGAGAACTGTGGCCATAGCAGATTCCAACTATAACTGGTTCTATGGGCCGGAGAGCCAGCTGGTGTTTCTCGACAAATTTGTCATGCGCAACGGGAGCGGGAACTGGTTGGCAGAGCAGATCAGAAGGAACCGAGTGGTGGAGGGCCCAGGGACGCCATCCAAAGGGCAGAGGTGGTGCACTCTCCACACTGAATTTCTCTGGTATGAAAGGGAATGAGTGGGCTCAAAAGGAACCTGACAGCTGTTTGCTATTGGTGATAATTCATTATCTTTAGATTTGTGCTCTAGAAGCAGAGATCAGGCTGGCCATGTGCAACCCAGAGAGTCATTAGGCTCAGAACTTCTTCAGTTGGCATGGATGCACAGTATGTGTTGCTACAGGAACACCTTGGTCTTGTCCTACATCTGCTTTTATGTTTTCCTTCCATTGTCTATTGCTTTTATAAAATACAAGCAGTTCCAAAAGGACTGAAAATTTGCCTGCATGTATTCTTCGGTTTATTTGGTCTATTCTAATGGGTTTTAATCCTGTTGTGTTCTTTAATAATTAATTAGGTGAATATTTAAAGCATAATTTTCTTTGAAAAGTTATATATAATAGTATAAGCTTTCTTTTAAAAGCTAAAGTAATGTAAGCAGTAAGACTACTATTAGTTGGTTTTGCACACTAATTTGCAAGTTGTGCCTAGAAAAAATATGATAGATTACTAGATCCTTACTTTCCATGTAATTTACAGCTCTTCTAACTTGTATGTCAGTTTTCTAAAGGTAAGAAATTAAAAGACCCAACAGGCTTTAGCTATACATAGGCATTTCCTCAGTCTGTGGAGAGAATAAGTACATTTTCGAGGATTCAGTGTAGCTCTATTTCTTTCTCTTACAAGAAAAATATTATTGCATATATGTTGTTTTGCATTTATGATATGCACATTAGAATGCACATTTATTAGGCTCCAAGCACCCTTCATCTTGCTATTTGCAAAATACAGAATCTCTCCTCTACAACCCCATTCCACCATTCTTTTCTCCTGCTTCTCCACAGAAATCTTGGGAATTTGTACTTAGAAAACTCTTTTTGATGTCAAAAGGAAAGAAATTTTTTAAGAGCACCTGAGTAAAAAAAAAAAAAATTATCTGAATATTCCAACAATTGCCTTTTCCCTGTGCTGCAGTGTTGCTCTTGTGATGATCATGTCCACTTGCATCAGTCTCAGGAAAGAGGTCTGCTTTTAGGGGAATCTCCATCAAGGACCACTAGATGTAGAGCAGGCTCCCGGCACAGGTTGGAATTACCCAAAGCCATATGCAGGACATGAGCTGTGATTGTCCAGGGCCTGACAGAGGCTCCTGGTTAGCTGTGGAGAATAAATCTGATGAGGAACCATATAACAGAAATATTACTGGGATTAATGATGGTTTGGTTGCTTAAAAACAATGCCAGAAGGTTAGGTTTTGTTTTCCATGGTTAGGGTTTTTTGTTTGTTTGTTTGTTTGTTTTAACTCCTGTAGATCAAATAAACCAAAAATTATAAGCATAGTAACCTTTTCTGGAATGAAGACCTCTTTTTAAACCGAATGTCTTATATCTTACAATTTATACAAGAAAGCCATGCAAATTTTTCTTCTACCTAGTTGGAGAATGAAACTAACATACATTAAGTGATATAAATCATAAAAATTTATCCTTTAAAATCCCTTTTTATTAATTTTTAGTTTACTGCTAATTCTGTTTGGAGACTACGGATTTCGGAAACAGATACTCTGCTTCTGTTGTTAAGTAGTCAGTAAATAGGCGCAAATGTTGGTGTCTAGTGCAAAATAGGCAGTGTCTACAGCCTTGTGTTAATGTGCCTTTTTTAAAGTTGTATTGCGGTCAGTAGCTTTATGGTATAAGGAAAAACGTAAGTAGTTTGAAATTACTGGTACTCTTATTTTTGGATTGCAGAAGGATTGCTTGCTTTCAATGTGGAGCAGAAGCTTTCAGCTATTATTCTGTAAAGAGCATGCAACAAATTTATATAGGGATTAGTATGATAAATATCATTACAACTCTCTGATTAGTTCCCTCAGGATGCATACGTTTGGGCTTTGTATTGTTAGCTTGCTCCTTTGTGTAAATATTGAATTGGTTTTTGAGTTTTGTACAGGTGCTGATAATGGAATCAGTCGAGTGATTTTTAAACCCATTTTCCATGTCTGTTTGGCAGGTATGATGCAAGTTTGCGCTCCATACCTCCGCCAGACTACGGGGTTCCTAAGCTGCATTATTTTGAGGACTGGGGAGTGGTAACCTATGGAAGTGCTTTGCCGGCTGAAATCAACAGGCCTTTCCTTTCCTTCAAGTCAGGAAAGCTGGGAGGACGTGCAATATATGATATTGTTCATAAGAACAAGTACAAAGAGTGGATCAAGGGGTGGAGGAACTTTAATGCTGGCCATGAACACCCGGACCAGAACTCCTTTACTTTTGCTCCCAATGGTGTACCTTTCATAACAGAAGCACTGTATGGGCCAAAATATACTTTTTTTAATAATGTGTTGATGTTTTCCCCTGCCGTGTCCAAGAGCTGCTTCTCCCCATGGGAAGGGCAGATTACAGAAGACTGTTCCTCAAAGTGGCTTAAATATAAACATGACTTGGCTGGTGACTGTCAGGGACGAGTGGTTGCCGCCATGGAGAGAAGCGGGGTGGTTTTTATCAGGGGAGAAGGAGTGGGTGCATACAATCCTAAACTGAAGCTGAGAAAATTGCAAAGAAACCTCATACTTCTCCATCCCCAGCTTCTCTTGCTAGTGGACCAAATCCATCTGGAAGATGACAGCCCCCTGGAGGCAGCGACTAGTTTCTTCCACAATGTGGATGTGCCTTTTGAAGAAACAGTTGTTGATGATGTCCATGGGGCCTTTATTAGGCACCGTGATGGGATATATAAGATGTACTGGATGGACGACACTGGCCACAGCGAGAAAGCCACCATTGCCTCAAGGATGTATCCGCGGGGCTACCCGTACAACGGAACAAACTATGTGAATGTAACGACCCTCTTGCGGCACCCTGTCACGAGGGCCATTTACCTGTTCATTGGGCCCTCCGTCGACGTGCAGAGCTTCACCGTCCGTGGAGATTCTCCGCAGCTGGATGTTTTTGTGACCACCAGTGAGCACGCCTACGCGGTGTACCTGTGGCCCGCTGAGGATGGGTCCCGCTCTGCCTTTGCACAGGTTATTGCAGACCGCCAGAAAATTGTCTTTGACCAAGCCTCTGCCATTAGGAGCTTCGCAGTGCCGGAAGTGAAGGACTACGTAGGGATCGTGGAGAGGAACCTGCAGCATTTTAAACCTGTTTTCCAGCAGCTTGAGAAACAGATCTTGTCTCGTGTACGCAACACGGCTAGCTTTAGGAAGACTGCTGAGCGCCTGCTGAGGTTTTCAGATAAGAGACAGACAGAGGAGGCCATTGACAGGATATTTGCCATCTCACAGAGGCAGCAGCAGCAGCACGGCAGAGCAAAGAAAAACAGAAAGGCAGCCAAAGGCTACAAATTTGTTGATGCCGTTCCTGACATTTTTGCACAAATTGAGGTAAATGAAAGAAAAGTGCGACAAAAGGCACAGACTCAAGCACAAAAAGAGTTGCCTGTAGATGAAGATGAGGAAATGAAAGATCTTCTGGATTTTGCAGATATCACTTATGTGAAGCACAAAACTGGGGTGTCAATCAAGGGCCGATCAGGTCTGGCACAGATGGTGACGACTGCTCGAAGTAGTGCCCCATCAATATCAGCGTCTTATACCCGCCTCTTTCTAATTCTCAACATTGCTATTTTTTTTGTCATGTTAGCAATGCAGCTCACATATTTTCAGAAGGCCAAGAGACTGCATGGCCAGAGATGTCTGTATGCAATACTGTTAGTAGACAGCTGTATATTATTGTGGCTGTATTCTTCCTGTTCTCAGTCACAATGTTAGCAGAAGACCTCTACTAGTCGACCAGTTTATGGTCATATAAGTCTATGCAAAAGCATTAACCCTAATAGGGCCAAAGTTTATCTTCTTTTTTTCTGAAACATTCCAAAAACAGCTGGGGGAAGATTGGTTTCAGACCAGAAGGGATGGAAGAACAGGGCAAGCAATTAATATCTCATAAAACTAAGTACTTAATAAGTACTCCTCCTTTGTGTTCTGAGTTGGGCCTCACATCTGAGGGAATGTTATGCTTTGTTCATCAGAGTTCAGTAATGTAAAGTTGTAATTAATTTTTTGGTGAGAAGAGCCCGCTTAATAGATTTGTTTCTAAGGGCTTGCTTTTTTATACAGAATTCGATTTGCATTTAGTGATTTTTCATTTCAGGCTGCTATGGATGTGTCTGGACATTCTCTTAAGAAAAGGATGTTCAAACACAAATATGCAAGGCAGATCTTAGCAGTAGATTTCATTTCTCTCTGCAAAACCAAAGAATGCTTCAATATGGGACACTCCTGTATAATTATCGTGGACCCTTACATCATGTCATCTCTTCCATGCTTTACAGTCTGGCACGGTGGGAAACGGCAGTCATGTCAGTACTTGCCAAGTGAGAGGTACAACACCTGGTAGGCAGTAGCAGAAGGCAAATACGGGGCTAACTCAAGTATAAAGGAACACAGTTCTCAGGAAAAAAAAAACCAAACAACTTTATCTTTCAGTCACGTGTAGACAGTAGAAGGATGAATGCTGTAGGGTCTGTTCTCAATTTTACAAGGCAGGGTTTCACAAAAGTTTTCTATAGTTTGAAGCACATCTTAGTAGGGAAATAATGTCCTAGATCACTGGCCTTCCATATGCAATTGTGAAAATATAAACAAAAAACCAAAGCAATCCTGTGGTAACCTCAGCAATTGCCAGTATGGAAAAAAGAGGTATTAAGGAAGTATTTAATGTCTTTTTTTCTGTTCACATGACTAGAAACAGAGGACAGTTAAAACTGTGTGAACAGCCTGTTCTCTATAAAACACCAGCAAGGGTTCTGCAAGCTCTTGGTGGCTCTGGGTCAATTATTTGGGGATTAGTGGTAAATGGAATCATGTGGTTTATGACAAAAATAAGTTTGACATCTCCACATATATCCCCTTCTGTTCATTAAACTGATTTCAAAAAATTCATAGCTATTTGAGAGGATGGAAGCTCCATGGAACTGGGGCGTATCTCTATGTCTTTACAGAAAAACAATTCTTCCAGTACATTTGCTAAATAAAGACATTATAATTGTCTCTGTGGAAAAGTTGTTTTTCTTTGATTAAAATATTTTTCCCGATAATTACAGTGATGATGTTCATCAGCACTTTGTTCAAACCACAAACCTTTGTTTCCTCTTCCTCACGCCCGTTTAGGTACCTGCTATGTAAGGTGCTGTTAAGCCTTCTGCAAGTCTATGTGATGAGCTTTCCTTGTCTAAACATCTTCAGTGAACAGATCAGAATATTTTTGCTAGGTTCCAGCTACTGAGCCAATTCTGAGCACTGTATTCACCTACATAAGCCCTATTTATGTGAATCCAGTGCCGGCATTTATCCAATGAAATTTGGTACATTTAGTCTGAGCAAAGATTTAGGACCCCAGTTAATTTTGATCCATGCATAGTCAGTGGAAACAGAGAGCCTTCAGAGAGCTACTCAGCCTACCTAAGACCTTGAAACACCTTCAAGACATACCTTTCCCTTTTCCCTAACTGCAAAATGCATGTAGGGCAGTTAATCACCTATTTCAAAGCACCCACTTATTTGCTTAAGGTGAAGGGAGCTGAGCCTGGAGAGTGTCGCCCAGTATAGTTCCATGTTTGTAGTGGTGACTGCTGAAACTATGGATTGTGACAGGCTGCGTATCACTGGAAATATCCTTATTTCTGGCTTTGCGCTGTGATGACATGAAGGCGTGCAGAAATAGCTCTTGGGTTATGTTCAGTTGCAAAGACAACATTGGTCAGTTTTTCGGTATTAGGTGATACTGTTATTGGCCATGAAACGCAGAAAAATCAAGGTGCAGGTACTGTTGCAGTTTAGTTGTACAGCCTGGCACATCCCTCCAACTGGGAGCCGGTGCCGTGAAATTGCCCCAGGGTAATTCAGGGAGTCATGGTGCCTTACAAATAGCCTGTGCTTGCATCTCCATGTCCTCTTTGCAGACAAATGAGCCTTCAGGAAAATAAAGAGCTGTGGTAGCTTTTAGCCTTAATCAGGCTAATGTCAACAGTGGAGTTAGTACAAATATTTCACTTCATTTCATGTCCGTGCACATTTACCCTGTGTCAGTTTGGCATTGCTTTGACCAATCAGCTATAGAAAGCCAACCTATAGTCTAGAAGGCTTTTGAGAAATACCTGCATTTCTTGTTGTGCTTTGTAGTGTGGCATCTGAATTCTAGCATGGGACATGCACAGCTGTCAAATGAAACTGCAGAATTACAGAGATTAGAAAGTACGGTATGGTCGTGCACAGTAGCTCTCATTTACACTAC